GTGAGGTCCACATGTGAGAGAAAAAGTCAAAAATTACGGTTGGAATAATAAAATAACGGTCAAAAAATTAATTTTTTAGGGTAAAAAATTCCTCCCAAACAGGCTGAGTATATACGTGGAATTCCATGATTAGAGAGTTAAAAAAATTATTTTTTATATAATAATATTAAATCACTTGTAGATTATGAAGACCCTTATAAACACCATAACATACATAACCCCTATTCAAAACTCTAATGGAAAACAAACAAGCTCTAAGAATTCAATGCGACTAATCTCACAGACCTTCCCTCCTCTTTTTTCTCTTCCTTATTTATTCGATCCCCTTTTTGTCTTTCTCCGATCTGGTAAATTTATGCATTTGTTTCTCGAAAATCTTCATTATAATTAATGTAATTTTTAATCTTTTGTTTTTGTTCAATTCTTCATTTCTTAAATTATCTGAAAATCGAAAAAATAAAAACGAGTACCTTTTTGTAGGGTTTATTTTCCTTTCATATTTGAGGAAAGAAATTGAGATTGAATCAAATGGCTGCTCCACCCGCCAGAGCTCGAGCCGATTACGATTATCTAATCAAGCTTCTCTTGATAGGAGACAGCGGTACGTATTTTATGCACGCAGTTCTGTACGTATTTTAATGTATTTTATCATGTTATTTTGCGTAATATTTGAAATACGCAGACGCACTTTTATATGTGTTATTTTCGCATCTGCATTTGATCGGAAATGTTCAAATTATTACTCTACCTGACATGGTTTTTATCTTCTGGCTGGGAGAATATTTAAGATCTTTCTGATATTCTCTTGATATATCTTTTTAATTATGGGAAAAGTTTAATATTTCATAGGATTTTCTGCTTAAAAAATTGTGCTTGGCTATTTTTCGAGGAAAAAAACAATTGCCTACTGGGGAAAAATATGTTAGATTTGATTATATCTGTCAAAACATATTTTTCGGCTAAGTAGGTGCATATATGTTTTGCCAATATCATAAAACAAATGCGGACTCACGGGTTTCAATGAATATGTTTGCTGGCACATAGGCTCGTATACTACTTTTATATATTTAATAATTAGGAGTTTTATTTAGAGATTAATTTTCGATTGAAGAATTAATGAGGATCTTGGTCTCTTTATAGGATGTATTCTTGGACTTTGAATAGCTGTAGGATTATAATTTAACTTGAGGAAAATGGAACACTTGCACAAAGCCAAATGTTCCAGAGGATAAGTTACTGATTCTCTATGGGATCATGGCTGGGAAAGTTTGACTGCTTGAGGTGAATTTGACAACTTACTATCTAGAAGACCGATTTGAATTTTATGAAGTTGTGCTGATATTATAAGTTTTAAATGAGTTCAAAAAGCTATGAAAGATTTTGTAATCAGTCTTTCTAATCATGTCATTCAAAAAATGGGTGAAGCTTGTTGGTTGGGGTCTAACTGCTCCAGTTCATCCCCTTTCAGGAAAACCTCGGTGTCTATCGTCACTCGACTGAACATTAGAAAGTAATGGTTGTTACACAAAAATTGCTGTGAACTGTGCTGTGGATTTTATCCTCAGCTGAATGTAGAACATTTTAGTGCATGTCAGCATATCTTCATTTCTTTTGGTATAATTAATATCTTTTTGGGAAAACTGTGCTGAATTTTCCGCTAGAAGTTGTAGTTTAACTAGATCTGGATTGAAGGTCACATACTCACATTTATTGATTTAAGTTTTCAGGTGTGGGTAAGAGTTGCCTTCTTTTACGTTTCTCTGATGGCTCTTTCACTACCAGTTTCATTACCACCATTGGGTAGGTTTCTTTCCAATACAAGATACTCTTATCCAGTTTGGCTTCGTTGACATTCTTCTGCCAGGTGTAAATGATTCAGTTTTCTTATGCAGCATTGACTTCAAGATAAGGACCATAGAGCTTGACGGCAAACGAATCAAACTGCAAATCTGGGATACTGCTGGGCAAGAGAGATTCCGAACTATCACAACTGGTATGCCATGACCAATGCATGAATCTGCTCCCTTACCCCTATCCCTTCCCTAGACAGATAGTCAGATACTGAGGTAGTGTGACATTTCAGTTTCATCATGTTTATCTTCAATTGGTTTAAGGTGTCTTTAGAAATATTTGGAGTAGCTTTTTAGAAATTCTGGATGCCGTGTGGATATCTAAGAACAAATTAGGGAAGAAACTGATCAAATGTCTTATTATTTAAGGAATCAGCTGCTTTTAATTGGTGGAAAAAGATTTGTGAGGTTTTAAGGGCATCTCCAAGAAATTGCACCATTTTTTGGTGCAAAGTTGCTCAAATGCAACATTATTTTACCCTTTTATTCTCATTTTCCAAATAATTGATGAAGGTAGTTATGTCATTTGTGTTATATATTTTTTAGTACAATAAATTATTATTATTATTAATTGCATTTAAAATAAATTTTAAATGTAAAAAATAATAATTAATAAATTAATTAAAAGAAGAAAAAAAGTTTAAAAATATAACAAACACCTTTATTTATAAAGTTAACAGGAAATATATTAAACGACGACATACATATGATAATCAAATTTTATTTAAACAAAACGATACATATATGAATTCCGAGAATTAAATTGCAAAAATTTTGCAACTTCGTAATATCGTAATATCCAAATTCGAAATGTATTATACTATTTTCTGATTGCCTGATTTAATATTTTCATTGTTGTAATGTTTTTATTAATTCTTTTATGTTTTTTATATTTATTAATGAATTTAATCTTTTCCGTAATTTAACGTAATTATTTATTTAGAAATTTATGTATTTATAAAATAATTAAATAAATAATATTTCAAATAAATAAATTATAAAGAATAAAAAAAGGGAAGAAAATAGTTAAACACCGTTCATTTGGTGTAACTTTTGGAGTAATGGTTGAAGATGAATTTTAGTTTGGTGCAATTTGGTACAGTGCTGGAGATTCCCTGCTTCATAATATGCATTACATTTTAATGTGATTTTTTTCCCCCAATCAATCGAAATTTTTGCCTTGAATGAATTTATGGCTAGAATTAAACCTCGTAGAGAATAGAGCTTGAAGTGGTTTTGATGCAAGATAAAGAAGAGAGCAGCAAGAAAGGGGGAGAAACCAAAGAGAATGGGGGGAAGAAACAGGGGAAGAAGTAGAAATCTAGGGGAAAGGGGAAGGAAGAGAAAAGAGGCGCAACAACCAATCTCAATAATTTATATTCATCCCCAAAACTAATGAAGTGACAGGAAATTATGTTTAAATAGTAAAGAGAAAACCTAACTAGAACGGGTTTGGGCCAATATAAGCCCCATTACATATATTAAAATCCAAAACTAAAATAAAGTCTAACTAGAAATAAATAAAAATAAATAAAATAGATGATGTCCTCATCAACTCTCCCGGGGTGAGAGAAAAACTCGACTCTGTCGAGTTGATAGATCACTGTAGGCTGCAATCAATCTGAAACTCCAAATGCTTCAAGTTAAGCCGCGGGGGATGCTCTTTTTGACGAACCAAGTACCAAAATTCTTTGATTGATAGTACTCAAAACTGTAGTTTATTCCCAAGGATATGATATGGCCAAGGGGACGGTCTTTCTTTCTAACGAAGTACTGATACTGGACTCCAAATAACCAATACTTATGCACCTCATCTTCAAAATTTTCATATGATTATACATAATGAGGAGCATAAGAAGCACGTCGATGTACCCAACAAACAAGAAAGTATTGAATCTTGCCATCATTGGTCAATACAACATGCTCATCTAAAATAACATCAATTTTATCTTTGTGTGCCGTGACGGATGCTTTAAAGTAGAAATATCAACATAGTCAAGTTGAGGGTCCACAAAGCTAAGTAGAAATGGATCATCAAAGGAAGTAAAACGATGTTTGTAAGTAATGAAGTCCTCAATATTTAAAGTAGAGTGGTAGTCAAAATGTAATGAAAGCGCAATGACATGTGCATTTAAACCAACATACTTTAATATTTTTAAAGGACCAGCACTACAAATTTGCAATACAACATAATCTTCAATATTAAATTCAAAATATCGTTTATGCAAATCAGCTATAATGCATTACTTTCGTCATGTTGTTTATTGATCTCAATATGCAAGTTATAAAGATGTGGTACAACTAACTCAACTGAAATAGACACATTAACATGTGGTGACGTGAGAATAAGGTCTAAATTTTTCCTAGGTTTAAAATCATGAATAATTTCAAAGGGACTTGAACTTATAGACCGATTCACAAAATTGTTATATGAAATTTGCACTGTTGGGATGATCAAATCCCAATTTCCAATATTTTCCTTAAAAAGGACATGATTACAATGATCATCATTAACTTTGGATTGGATAAGAGTATGACACACAATATTTGACTGAGAGGTATCGGGAACAAACGGTGCAATACCTAGATTTATAGGAAAAGTCTGAATACTATCTAAGGAGGTGTTCTTACTATCATCCAAGTCATCAAATTCTTCAAATTTAGGTTCATACACTAGATCTTCTAATAACTCTTCTATTACATTCTTTCGTTCTTCTATGACTAAGGCTCGATTAGGACATTGACCACAGTCCTTACAGCTGATGTGTAGCAAGTGAGAAGAAGTCCTTGGAGTTTCAAAAATTTTACCTTTATTTTTCGAGATTGGAGGAACATTAGACGGGGAAGGTCCTAGAAAGGATTTAACGATAGGAAGTGGAACCAATGAAATAGAAGAATGGTTGTCAATATACCTTCTATATGGAGAAGGGGGTCTTGGACTATCATGACCTTTACACTTATTTTTCCAAATGGGATGAACATTAGTCGGGGAAGGCTCTATGACAGACTTATCTTGAGGCCCGCTAATGACATGTGTGAACGATGGTGATCTCGCTTTTCATATGGAGTACTAATAGTCAACTCATAATTTCGGGCTAAAGAATAAGTGTGATCAAGAGTAGGGACATTTCGAAAGAAAAGCTCACACCTAAGATCATTTCTTAGACCTTGGCCGAACCTACTCAAAGTCGTGGTCTCATTCTCAATGACATGACATTTCATTTGAAACTCCTCAAATTGAACAATATACTTAGTCACGAACTGATTCCCTTGTTTAAGGGCATTCCATTAAGTAAGAACTTCAAAATCTAAGCAACTATCAAAAGTAGGAGTGTCTACTTTAGTGTCTCCAAAGGAACTCTCCTTATGACGAGGAAGAGAATGAGTACTATGATGACCATGTTCTCGTTCTCACTCGCTCACCTGATCCCTATCCTTACGATTGTATTGAAAATGTTTTTGATCACCTTGTCGACGACAATATTGTCTATTGTTGGACACTTTAGAATTATTAACATCAATCGAGCGAGGGATTTGCTTAAAATTGTTCAGATTAGCAACTAGATCTCTGCTATTTTCACGAGTAGCAGCCATCTCGGTTTGGAAAGCTACTAATTGAGTTTGTAAGTGTTGCTGGCTAGTGACAAGTTGAGCTAATTGTTTAGTGAGTGTCTCAAATTGTAAAGAGTCCATGTCTAAGTACTGAAACAAGGAGTGACAAGACGACCAGTCGACCACTATGCATACACTATATTAGCAGCTAAATGACGTGTAATATAGAGATCAATGAACAATAAGTGCAAGCAATGGAAATTAACAATTTGAACCATTTTTTTTTTAATTTTAAATTTTGCTATTAAATAAATCAAAAGCAAGCTAATATTGTTGGTACATGTAAAATAGCAAAGCAATGGTCAAACACTAGTCAAAGTCTCCAATCACGTTGACAAGTGGGGAATAATGGAAGGGCAATTCGTTCAATAATTCCAATCAAGTGAGGTTTAAGGCTAAAATTATAAACATAACAGCAACACAAAGAATTTAAATGATGCAATTTTAAAATGAACAGTAGTATAGACTAATGATAAATAGAGAATAAGGACTCACTCTTGTTTAGTTACAATGGTGGTGCCCACGGGTGCTTGAACCTGATGCTATAACAAGCCATTGTGTGGAGGGACCACCTGTTAACTTCAAACTTAGAACTCCAAATCACCTGGCGACAATAGTAGGTGGACAAAAACAGAGACAAAAATGATATGGAGTGAATTGAGGCAGAACTTAAATTGCAATTGTGGTTATATTGATCTCCCGGATATCTTCATGTTTGGACTCGATGGACGGTTATCGGTAGCGGGTAGTTTTGGTGTTAATAAGCTGTTTCATATTGTGTTTTGTGAGTGGTAGATGGATGGTGGTTGACAAAGATGCAGAGGAGACGGCGGCCCTAAAATGTGTGCGTGCGTGTGGCGCGATTGAAACTCAATAGAGCTAGGTGTGTGAATTAATGGTTGCAGCGATGAAAAACAGTGATTGTGGTGAGGGACGTCGGCGATTGAGGGATGGCTGATGGTGAGTATCCATTGGTGACTGGGGAACTTGACTATGCCGATCGTTATGTAGGTGTTGGGCTTTTGGATTAATGGAAAAATCGGGTTAATGGGGTGGTGGCAGTGAAAGAAGTGCCGGTGATGCCGGTGGTACTGGAGGCAGGTGTCGTCGGCGTGGGTGGACATATCGGAGTGGAGCAGTTGACGGTGGTTTCGAACGACTTAGGGTCGGGGAAGATGAAAGAGTCGGGTTGGATTGTGGGCTGGATAATGGGTTCATTTATGTGTTAGATGTGTTGTGATAATATATGATAAGTGGGTTGGGTTTGGTGTTTATTGCGCTTGGAAGTGAGTGGATGGGCTAATCAGATGATGGGAAGTGTGCCGTATATATGGAAATGGGATGGAGTTTGGGTTGTGTTATGGAGATGGGCCGGTTAGGATTATTGTTCTGGGTAGTGGCCTGTGTTGTGGAAAGTAGGTAGTTGGATTAAGTGATAACGAGTTTTAATTAAGATTGGGATTAATTTGGGCCTAAGTAAGGGGCTAATGATTTTGGGCAAAAGAGACCAACTAAGTATTGTATTGGGCTGCTATGAATTTGGACTAGGGTAAAGAACAGCAAGCTTTCTTCTAAGTGAACAACAGATGAAATTTGGGGGCGGCAGCAGATTTGTATTATATCATAATTTATTAAACATAATTTTTTCCATTTTGAAACTTATATTATGCTTTACGCATAATTTTCAAATAATAAATAATATTAGATAATAGTATAATATTGTGAATTGAAATATTCGAAGAGATTTAATTTTTTTAAATTAAAATAAGATAAAAATAATTATAGTAATTTGTTTTATAACATCAAAAACTAATAATTAATATGTCCAAAAATAATTTACTTTGTTAAAATTGATATTTTTTTTTATTTTAATTTTGTTAAGGCTATGATTTTTAGTAAAAATAATAAAATAAACTAGTAAACACTTAGAATTGACAATTGAGTAGTATCCCACATTGAAAGACCACTAAAACATTAGAAGAGAAGTACCCTTTAAAAATATAGTATCCCACATAGGAAGATTATTAAAACATTCCAAGAGAAATCTTCTTTAAAATGAACTAAAGGAGCATCACTTGAATAAAAAATTGATTTGGGCCTTATAGTATATTAGGTGAGCCCATCAAGAAAGTTAAAATATTTTTTTTGGAAAAAATTGATGGAAAAAAATTCGGATCGAATTATTGGATCGGATATCCGATAACATAGCAAATCGGACATGAATTTAACAATCAAATATTCGTTGGATTATCGGATTGGATAATTTTTCTTAATGGATCGGATCGGATTTAGACAAATCCGCTCCATATCCGATCAATTGACAGCCCTACCCAAAACTAATGAAGTTACATAGAAAATTAGGTTTAAATAGTAAAGAGAAAACCCTAACTACAACGGGCTTGAGCCGATACAAGCCCAATTACATAAATAAGAAACCAAAACTAAAATAAAGTCCAACTAGAAATAAATAAAATAGATGATATCCTCATCAGGTTTTCATTTGGCTTGTTTTTGTAAACGAGCTTAAAACTTGTGACCATGCATTGTTTATAATAATTCATGGAATAACAATCTATTTGTGGGCAGCTTGTAACCTTTTTTAACAATTAATTTTGTTTCCTGATTACATTTCCATGTATTACAAGAAAATATCATGATTTAGGGATTTTTAAATTTGAGGGAAGAAGCAAAACTAATTTGCGTGTTTTTGTGGAAAATGTACTATAATTTTTATTACATATCTGAAGCCAATATGATTATTGTGATAGCAAACACATGTATACAAATGGCCATTATTAATCTTCATTTCATTGCTATCAAGCATGAATGAGAACCAAGGGAGCATAGCAAGCAATTCCCTTTGGTCCGGCTTTTGCAGTGCCAAGATAGGAATTAGATTAAAGAATGATATTGAATGAAGGGGCAGGTTTGTCCTAAGAAAGAAACCATGTCAAACAAAATCCTAAACTACATGCATATTTTGCCAGTGCTCTACTCTATTTTTATGCTTAATATTTGGACAGAACCTGTTTCTTTATGATCACATTTGAATCTAGCTCTTACTTACATGTCATGGACTGGAAAAGACACAGTTATTGCATTTCAAATATTGCACTTTTTGATACTTATTAGATGGTTTGCCTTAGAAGCAGATAGTTGTGATGAGCCCATACATGAATGAGTTTCAACATTTTTCAAGCAGTAGCCTTTTCTACATTTAGCTATGGAAGGAAGTAAAAGTGAAATATAATGTCGAAAGAGGATCATCCTTCCTATGGATTCTTCCCTCCTTTAAAATCATACATTCAAATTGGTTTTTGTTTTTGTTTTTGTTTTTTTTGGGTCAATATACATGTATAATTATAAATGTGTTGTTCTAGGGTTTGTTAGTGATTATAGACTCCGTAGGAGCATTTTGTTTCTGGAAATTTCTGAGCTTTATCTTAATGTAAATTTTTATTTTGCAGCTTATTACCGTGGAGCTATGGGAATATTGCTGGTGTACGATGTGACTGATGAGTCATCTTTTAACAGTAATTTCTCCTCATTCTGATAATCCTTTCTCTTATTGGGCCTGATATTTTTGCCCTTCATCACACCAATAGAGGATTTTCCATGTTTGAATTCTTCAATTCTATCTCTTTAACTTCCTTTAATTTGCTGAGTCATCTCATGTAATTTTTGATTGGTATGAGTGTAGTACTTTCTCCCTTTGTCAAAGTTGACTCGTTCGTTCGTTTAGACATCAGGAATTGGATTCGTAACATTGAGCAACATGCCTCTGACAATGTCAACAAGATACTAGTGGGTAACAAGGCTGACATGGATGAAAGCAAAAGGGTATAATCTCTCTCTATATCTACCCCTCCTCCCAAGTGAGTGCCCACACACAAAACAAACTTGTGTTTGTTTGTAAATATATGCATACTTATTGCAGATGGTGAGCACACTCTTCTGCATCATTGCTCTGATTGGGTTGCTAGCTAAAGCTCAATTGGATGGATATTCAGTGAGCATGCATTTCATACAAATCAAATGTAAACCCCCCAGGTGGATTTTGATAATTCCTAGAATGAGATATATGTTTGGCCTCCATTTTTTTAAAAACTCATTTTTAACCACACATTCTCCATAAAATAATATTACAAGCAAATTGAAAACTTTTCCTTATTTTTTTACTGTGCATTCTCCAAAAAATACCATTCCAAAACTCTTTTTTTCCCCAAATTTCCATTAAAATGGAGCCCAAACAAGGGCAAAAAGAGAGAAGAAACGAAACTGGTGAAAAGTGGAATTACATATCTCGATGCCATGCCTGCGAGATCAAGTAGACATGAAAACACATCATTCTTTGTTTTGTGATCTGCTCACTAGCCTTCTAATCTAGCTAAAGCTCAATTGGATGGATATTCAGCGAGCACGCATTTCATGCAAATCAATTGTAAATTCACCAGGTGGGTTTTGATAATTCCAAGAATGAGATGCGGAAAGAGAGAAGAAACGAAACAAGTGAAAAGTGGAATTACATATCGATGCCGTGCCTGAGAGATCAAGTAGACATGAAAACACATCGTTTTTTGTTTTATGATCTGCTTACAAGCTTTCTAATCTAGCTAAAGCTCAATTGGATAGACATTCAGCGAGCATGCATTTCATGCAAATCAAATGTAAATCACCAGGTGGATTTTGATAATTCCAAGAATAAGATATAAAAAGAGAAGAAAACAAAACACCTGAAAAGTAATGGAATTACATATCGATGCCATGCCTGAGAGATCAAGTAGAAATGAAAACACATCGTACTTTGTTTTGTGATCTGCTCGCTAGCTTTCTAATCTAGTTTATTAGATATTCAAAGATTGATCAGACCTAACTTATTTCTGCAGGCTGTTCCCACCTCCAGGGGTCAAGCACTCGCTGATGAGTATGGAATAAAATTCTTTGAGACAGTAAGTTACACTTGTTTGCTGATGTTGGAATCATATGCAGTAGAAGCCAGTTCTAACATTATTATCTCAAACAGAGTGCAAAGACAAATATGAACGTGGAGGAGGTGTTCTTCTCAATTGCCAGGGATATAAAGCAAAGGCTTGCGGAATCAGACTCAAAGGCCGAGGTATAATCATGTTTTTTGTTTTTTTAGCTGCTCGTGCTTCACTTCTTTACATATATGTGTAATCTTAAGACTGGTCTCTCTGTTTTCCGAATTTTGCAGCCTCAGACCATTAAGATTACCCAAGCTGACCAGACAGCAGGGGCTTCCCAAAAATCAGCCTGTTGTGGTTCTTGAGCCGAACCCTTGCATCGAACATAGGATGATCTGCCACATCCTTAAGTTGACTATTTTAACTAGTCTTGTTATGACAATATGACAGTTGCTTGTATTCTTATTTTTAGTTGCTACACAAATATGTATTGTTGGCACATCTTTACTGGAGAAATCAATTAGTATACTTCTTTCCCATGAAGTGTTTACGACTGTTTGTCTCTGAAGATGACTTTGGAACCAAAAACTGACTGTTGAAGCAGCTGTCTATTTATCATTTTGATCAGAACTCTTTATTTTCGTGTTTAATGTGTATGCATCTCCGTTCCTTACTCTCAATCAATTTTAGCCGTTTGATTCAGTTTCAGATCTATGGTTTTACTTACAGAATTGTCGGTTGCCTAACACGAAACAGCTGTTACGATATAAAGCTGTTTTAAGGTTATTATCAAACATTGCTAATTCTGACTTTATAGTATAAAATTATTTTCTTAGAGAAACACAGTTTGATGAGTTTTAGATATGGAGAGATTTAGAAGTTTCTTTCTTCTTCTAGGTTTTCAAAAGGTGCTTTCTAATTTGTTTGGTTAATTTTATGAAAATATTTCTTCTAGTTAAAAAAGTTTTCAGAAGAAACTGGTTCAATATAACTTCCTTTAAAAACACTTTTGGAACTTGAAACTTTTTTAAATTAGTTTTCAAATAAAAATTAAGATAATTTTTTAAAAAAGTTCTTTTATAGAAAGTATAGAAATAATCTCCTAAAGCACCGATGTTGCTTAGGAGATCATTTCGGATAGAAAGTAAAAGTAGTGTTAAATGGATCCTTATATTATGAAATGGATCAATTAGATCGAGGATTTTGCCCAAATCCATTTTGCAATTCTACTTTGTTTCTACAATATATGTTTTAATTAATATCAAATTTCAATATGGAGGAAATCAACAAAGATAAAATGAAACATTGGCACTCAAATTCCAAGGAAAATTCAAGATAATTGAAGGGAATGTTCAATGAACAGAAAAAAATGATATTACAGAAATGCCATGATAAAATGGATTCATACAGGTCGGTGGTTCCACTTGCATCCGGATATTCGCAGAAATTTTATTCATAACGGGCCTAACAGCTCCTTTCCACCGCTCGTTACTCCTTAACACTAACCACCGTTAGGAATTCCGTCATTGTCTTCGGTTCGGTATCCAATTAACATCGAATTGTGTGGACCCCGTAAAGTTTATTCTCCACAATCAAATGAATCTTCCGCAATAGTTTCAAATAGAGAGAATTTCCTTGTTCCCTTTTTCTGCCTTTTCTTTTTATTATTCCTCCACTCCTCCCTTTAAATGGCGAAGGATGAAGCAGAAACAGAGCGGAAACGCATAACGTACCACAGTATTCTACTGACAAAGACCTTTGCTTTACTCAACTTCTTTCTCTCTCTAGGGTTGTTTGTATATGTATATATATACTCCCTTTCCCTTCCCTTGCCTAATTGCCTTCATTTTACGCTTCGTGTTTGCTCCTGGAGATCTGAGCTCTTCGTTTTCTACCGTCGGTCTCTGTTAGCTCTCTTTGACAGTTTTCGGTACGTTTTATTCGATATTTTTCTTACATTTTGCCTTATTTTTCACTCTGCATTTTTTTTTGTTGCATAAAAATAAGCGTATCTATAAGTGTATATGTATATTTAAGTTAGAGTATTGATCTTCTAATATTTAGGCGTGGATATGAAAAATTATGCTCAGTTTTTAGTCTATGAACGTTCATTGGTTGTTGGATAAATTAGTGCGTTAATTATATTCTGTTAATCTAAAATAGATGCATGCAAATACTAGAGAAATGACTTAACGAATCATAGTACATGCATAATAATGAGCAAATCACTACTTACTCAAATGCAAAAAATAAAGAAACTGAAGGAGATAAAATGAAGCGGGGTATGCAAATGCAAATCTCCTTAAAATGGAATTTGCCTCGTTGTTGACAAGATCTAATGGACGCCCTTCTCCCAAGACACAACTATTCAGACAATATTAATATATCACAATATTAATTGTGCATGGCGAACCAACGCATTACTGTATTATTCTAGAATGGAAGATATCAAATACTAAATATCATACATGAAACTCAAAAATACTATGGAAATTATTTTGACAGAATTTAGATAAAGAAAAAATTAGTATTATGAATTGATTTGGAGTGAGAAAATGGAATTAGGAGGGTCTTATTCATAGATTTTCATGCGTCTCTTCAAATGGCCTCATCTTTTCGCATAAATTAATTTCAACCACTAGTTCACACCATTTCATATTTAATAGTGTAGATTACACCTAATCAAAAAGTCTCACCCATTTGAAACAATTCTTTGATATACACCCTTTGCATTTGAAGAGTTGTGTTTAGTAATCAAACCCATTTAACCATTAATTCCAACAATTGGCATTTCGTTTTGGGGCCTTTCGTGTACTATTTTGATATATTTTCGGATTTGCATGTCAGTGCCGGCCTACTTCCTCCTTCTCTTATTGGGGTCAGTTTTTGGTGGTTTAGTCATAATGTGTTTTAAATTCATTATTAATTTATTGGTATCTAGTTTTCTCTCAGGTTAAGTATACTCCTCGAGGAGAATTATATTTAGCAGTATTTTTGGTAACCAGAGAAGAATTTTACTTGTTTGATTTCTGTGCATTTTTTAAGTAGTTATTGTGTTATTTCGAACAAATACAATTTGCAAGCTTGTATTTCAATTATCTACTGTAAATAGTTTTTTTTTTTTTTTTCAGTAGTGATTTTTTTTTTTTTTTTTTTTTTTGGCAAGCAATCTAGAGCATGAAGCTTGCTAAGCTATTTATTCTAGTCTTAGCATCTTGACTTTGTTTACCTCTGTTTCACATATATGCTGTGAATACCACTAGGAATTCAAAAGGCAGAAATTTTTAGAATGTCTTCTGTTGAGGCTTGTTCGAGTGCATTGGTTGTAGATCTTACAGTTGATGAGGTATTCATCCTATGTCATATATAATGAACGGGTTATCATTGACTTATTTGATATGAGGTTTCTTTACATTCTATTTCACTTCATTCCCTCAATAACAATTTCCCCTTTTGGAAACCTAAAGTTTGTGCAGTTGGCCTGGGATCTATAAATAATTTCTTGAGTTCGGCAAGACCGTTTCGTATAAAATGTGATAATCAAATACGTTCCAAGGTTTCGTAGTTGATTTTCTGACAATGATATGACAGGCTTACTTTAATCAATGACCTAACATACAGCTTGCAGTTATGACACCACCTATTGAGACGCCAAATAATTCTCCTGCTTTTCGGAGGTCGGCACATCCGCCTCTTAACGAAAGGATACTCTCTTCCATGAGCAGGAAAGCAGTTGCTGCCCATCCCTGGCATGACCTTGAGATTGGTATTTATAACATTCTTCTCTACTTTCATAGTCAAAGCTCCAAAATTAATATTTATCAATCTTTTCATTTGATGCAGGACCTGGGGCTCCAAAAATTTTTAACTGTGCAAGTTTATTAAACTTCATTTAGCTTATTATTTTTTTAATGTAAAAAATTGAGAAAGTATCGAATATAAAGCTATTTATAGATCTTGAAAAAGTGTTGTGTCTCATTTTTACTTTTAGCTTGCGTAAATATCATCTCATTACCTGTTGTATAAAAAATTATTAACTTATGATAGTAACGGTTAAGTTTTATTACATTCGAGATCTGACTTGAGGATATCATTTGACATACACTCCATTCTGTTTTGGATTTGAATATATAACTTTTGAGTGTTAAAATATGCGACTCTCCTAACTGAATTCAAGCGAAATGTTGTTTTTCACGTCACTCCTTAAAATGTTTCCTTTCTCTATTATATTTTGGCTGTTTTCATCGCTTTTCTTTTTTCTTGCCATAACTTCTTCTCCGTCCATGTGAAGCGGTGCTTTAAAATGTTCCATCTAATCTGTTTCACCAATATTTCCATTTTGAGTTTTTCTTTTTCTTTTTTAAGCCCCCCCTTTTTTTTTTTTTTTTTTTTTTTTTTTTTTTTTTTTTTTTGTGACTTGTTCTTAAACCTTTGATGCATAATATAACATTTTTTCATGCATTCGCTTCTCCAAAGTTAAGAATTGTCAATACTCAACTTTATTGTCAAACATTATCAAAGTAGGAAATAATTATGAAAGAACCTAATTTTTATTAAATAGCAAATGGAACCTAATAACATTAAAGAATTGCAACATAAGTAGTAATCTTGGATGACAAAAATCATCAAGGAAATAAAAGCAATCATCTAAGCGCCATTTTGTCAAATTAAATTCTTCATCCTATACATCCTTTTGATAAAATGCATAGAGATGAGAAATGAAGAGTCCGTATTTAACTTGATTCAGTTCCAAGCAACCAAAGAGTGGAAGACACTTCCTTAATTTTTTAAAGTACCATGTAGATTTAGGTACGAATAACTCACATTAGAAACTAATGTGCATAGAGATTGCACTTTTTGACCAACATTCTTTCTCCTAACATCATCATGGTCCATGACGTCAGTAGATGTAATCAGTAGAATGTATCCAAACTGAAAAGTAAAATGATAGTCAAACAATTGAAAACAAAGGTATTGAAGGAAGAAAAGAAAGAAATATGGGATTCAATTTTGAGGACTTGACCAATTAGCATTCCCTTGGGATTGACAGAATACCATTGCACATCCAATGTGACAGGATAGTATTTTTTAAAGTGTAATTATTATATACCAAGTACAATATGCTCAACCTACAAAGGCAAGGACAGATGAAATGAGGGTACAACTAAGCATGATAATCACATTTCATGATAGTTTATCTGACCTAGCTGTCTTTAATTTTTCTTGGACAATCAGGCTGCACGTGTAAACATAACTCTGAATCCTTATATTTATGCATTGATAGCTCTGCGTCTTTTAACCTTATGATATCAAAAATGTCGGAAACTTTCTTAATGACATGAATATCCATGAAGAATTCTCCTTCTCTTCTAACTAGCTCCATGTACTAAACAGGAACCAGTTATCCCCGGGTGCTTTCTAAGGGCTAAAGCAATTGGCCTTATGCCCATGATTGATCAGGTACTTATAACCTGATGTAGTTAAAAATTTGACACACATTACCATTCAGAAAAAATAAGAATTTCTTTGGACTAACAGGGAGAGAAAGATGACAAGATAATTGCTGTCTGTGCTGATGATCCTGAATATCGTCACTACACAGACATTAAGGAGTTTCCACCTCATCGTTTGGCTGAGATCCGCCGTTTCTTTGAAGATTGTATCCTTTAGAAACGATTCAATGATGGCTTTTTTATGTTTTGTGAAAACAATCCTGTTTCATTACTGCAGTACTTTCAATGGTTGTTTGTGATTTTTTGCTCAGAGTTATACATTTCCTTAAAAAGTCGGTCAGACAAGAAAAACGAGAACAAGGATGTTGCAGTAGATGAAATTCTACCAGCCACGAAGGCTTATGAAGCAATCCAGGGTTCCATGTAAGAGCTTTTGCTTTTGTAACTCCTTACATTTCCTGTTAAATTTTGATCACTGGATTTCAATGTAGGCACAATATACCGTCCTTATTTTCTTGCCCCAGTAGTTTTGTACATCAATCAAGTTTTTCCCATTGACAAGTTTTGTTCGTTTTTGTTCCTCTGCAGGAACCTATATGCAGACTACATAGTGGAGAACTTGAGGCGGTAGTTTGTTCGCTTGCATGGACTAAGTGGTGTGCCAATATGCATAATTAAGCAGTTTTGCTTTGGAAAAAAGAATTAATATTACCGCCTTGAATATGTTCTATACTATATTTGGAGATGATAGTTCATTTCATGATGATATATTTTGATTATATACATTGCTATTAATAAATATTGTAACCCTCAAATTAATTTCCAATTTACATGTTTATTAAAAAGGTGTGGATTCAATTCTCCTTTATAGGCATTCTGAAGAGCAATTTGTAAGATCTCTTGTTTGTGATTATCAATTTGTTGGGCTACTCTCTCCTTGAATATGATTAACCATTCTTTATCATCAATTTGTTGATATGATTTTGTGCTGATCTCTTGATTTCACTTGTTGGCATATAAATTAGTCAACTTTTTCCCAAAATGAAAAATTATTAAAAAACCTTCTTTATCCATGAATTTAAGGAAAAAAAGAAGAAAACTTCCCTTTAAACAATTCTCCAGTCTTTATTACTCTTTACTCTTCTGGAAAACCCTCTCAAAACCCCAAAGCCGCAGCAAAATGGGCAGCTCTATCAACTCCACCTCCAACTTCGATAACATCCTCCTCCAATCCCTCATGGGCCGCCTCCAAATCCGGCACCCAAGCCTCCACACTCCACTATCCAGGCCGTCTTTCCTCACCCCTAAATCCTTCGATGACCTTTCTTCTCCGACAATCTCCTTGACTTCTCCGATTCTGATATTGACGGTGGAAACGAATTCTCTTCCTCCTCCAAGACACAGCTGTCTAAGGAAGAATCCAAGCTCGAAAAGGAGATCATCCGCATAATTCTCAATGGCAAAAGCGAAGCTCTGAAGCCCAACTTGGGTCAAGCTGTGATGATGGGTGAGCACCATACTGGGTTGGATTACCGGGCTTGGGAGTGGCATGGACATATCATGTTATTAGATGAGGAGCATGGGTATACGTCGGAGTATATTTACGAGAACTATTTGGAAAGAGCCAGTGCAGTCAAGAGGCAAATGAAGGAGGAGGAGAAAGAAAGTGACGATAATGATGTGAATGGGAAGGAAAAAGATGAGAAGCTGGGGAATGTGGGTTTGAGGTGATAAGTCCAGCCGCATTCTAGTTTCTTCCCACTGCAATAGCCGCAATTTCCAACCATAATTGATTTTCTTTTGGTTGAAGTTATTAAAGGACAACCACAATTATCATTTCTTAATGAATAAGTCTCCCATATGCATGCATGAAGTATCAAATTTGAAATGAAATTCTCTTACCACCTAACCGCCTTACCTGTTGACAGCCACCATTTTCTAAAACAAGCCCACTTTTGTTGACTCTCCAATTCGTCACATAATTGGCAATTTTTGGGCCATAAAATTGTAGTCGGTTGGCGGCTTGATTTTTGTATAAATAGAGCTCAATTCTTTTGTTGAAGTGTATGCCCCATGAGAGGGGGAGAGAGTGTGTGTGAAGAAGAAAGAAAAAGAGAGTTTTGAGAGGTTTTTTTTTTTTTTGAAAGTTTGTAATACTCCATTGTATAATTCTATTCAAGTAAGAAATAGAATTGTTTTTCCTCTTTTATCTTCTCTTCTCATGATCGAAGAATCACAACAAGTAGTATCAAAGCGAGATTTATTAATTGGCCCTTGTAGTTTTTTTATATAACTTCAATTTTGATAAAGCATTTGCAAGCTAAGATGCCAATGGAGGAATCTTCATTGGGAGCTATGATCAAGCTCATTGCTACCAATTATACACCGTGGAGGCCTCGGATGGAAGACCTTCTTAGTTGTAAGGATTTGTATCACCCACTCTGGAAGCCTAGAAGCCAAAGGTGTAAACCTCGATTCTAGCAAGAAGATTGAGTGCAAGAAGTTAAAGAGGAAAACTATTGGTCAAATTTGACAATGGATTGATCATAGTGTCTTTCACCATGCAGTATAGGAGATAGATGCATATGCCCTCTGGAAGATTCTAGAGGACATGTACAAGGCCAAGACCACTCGTAACAAAGCCCTGTTGATGAGGCGTTAGGTGAATCTGACGTTAAAGAGTGGAACTTTAGTTGCTGAGCATACCAGTGAATTTCAGAGTTTCGTGAACCAATTGTCATCTGTGGAGATGTCGCTCGGGGATGAAATGCAAGCCTTACTACTTTTAAGTTCTCTTCTTGATAATTAGGAGACACTAGTACTATCTCTCAACAACTCAGCCCCTAATGGTAAACTTACCATGTCTATGGTCAAGAATGCCCTATTTAATGAAGAGGCCATGAGAAAGGACGTTGACACGAACCAGTCACATGGTCTTGTCACAGAGAACTGAGGAAGACAGCAAGGAGGCATTCGTGGTAGGAGGAGAGGCAGAAGCAAAAGCAGAGGTGGATCCATAGATGGAAGGAAGCCTACTTACAAGTGCTACTATTGTGGTATGGAGGGCCACATGAAGAAAAATTGCTGAAATTTGCTAGGAAAGCAAGGTCAAAACAGTTCGCAGCCCGAATAAGAAGGAAGGAGAGACATTAATCACTACTTCTGGAAAGTTGTCTATCTGCTCCATCAATGAGGAGATATGTCTTTACGTCTCAAATCAAGATATTGAGTGGGTGATAGATACTACAACATCTTACCATGTCACTCCATGTAGAGATTTCTTCACAACATACAAAGCTGGCGACTTTGGTGTAGTGAAGATGAAAAATATCAATTCTTCTAAGATCGTCGGAATTGGTGATGTTCAGATACAAACGAACCTCGAGTGTAAAATAACCCTGAAGGATGTTCGACATGTACCTGATCTTCAGCTAAATCTACTTTCGAGGATAGTCCTTGACAAATAGAGCTATATCAATCATTTTAGCAACGACACATGGAATAGGTTCCATGGTTGTTGCTCAAAGACATACTTGTAGTAGTCTTTGACTAATGAAAATGTGTGCAGACAACCTCGACATAGTGGAATGTGAAGTTTCTCAAAATTTGTGGCATCAGAGACTTGGTCACATGAGTGAGAAGAGGTTGTCTACTTTGACAAAGAAGCAGCTAATCACAGTTGCCAAGGAAGTTGCTCTAGATCCTTGTAGTTATGGTCTATTTAGTAAGCAACACAGAGTCTTCTTCAATTTCTCTTCGACGAGACGATCAAAGTTGCTTATCTGGCACACTCTGATGTTTATGATCCCTTGGAGGTTGAATCACTAGGTGGTAACAAGTACTTTTTGACATTCATTGATGATGCTTCTCGAAAGGTGTAGGTATATTTCTTGAAGACAAAGGACAAATATTGTATTACTTCAAATTGTTTCATGCCCTAGTAGAGTGTGAAATAGGAAAGAAGCTAAAGTGTCTTCGCACAGATAGTGGAGGCGAGTACACTTACTAAGAGTTCAATGCCTATTGCAGAAGATACGGCATTCGACATGAGAAGACAGTCCCACGCACCCCACAACATAATGGAGTCGCTGGAGTCACCAAGAGGATGAATAGGACGATCATGGAAAAATTCAGAAGCATGATAAGTATGGCTAAGCTACAAAGCCATTTTGAGGAGAAGCTATTCGAACTGCTTGCTACCTGATCAACAGATCACCATCAGTGCCATTGAATTTTGAAATTCCGGAGAAAGTATGGTCTGATAAATATCCTTCCTACTCTTACTTGAGAGTATTCGGCTGTTGAGAAGAGAAGATAAAAGAGGAAAAATAATTCTATTTCTTACTTAAATAGAATTATACAATGGAGTATTACAAACTCTCAAAAAATACCTCTCAAAACTCTCTCTACTCTCTCTTTTCTCTTCTTCTTTACACACTACTCTCTCTCTCTCTCTCTCTCTCTCTCTCATAGGGCCTACACTTCAACAAAAGAAATACTATTTATCCAAAAATTAGGCTGCCAAACCAACTGCAATTTTATGGCCCAAAAATTGCCGATTATGTTATGAATTGGAGAGTGAACAAAAGTGGGCTGATTTTTCAAAATGGTGTCTATCAATAGGATAGGCGATTAGGTGATAGGAGAATTTAATTACAATTTTGCTACTTCATGTATGCATGTGGGAGACTTATTCATTAAGAAATGATAATTGTGGCTATATTTTAGTAACTTCAGTCGGAAGAAAATCAATTACGGCTAGAAATTGTGGCTATTGCGGTGGGAAGAAACTAGAATGCGATTGGACTTATCAATTCTCCCACTCCAATCGCATTTGAATCAACTATTATTTAACAACCAACTCAGCTATGTCTCTGTACAGCTCTAACTTTTCCCTTGGAACCACCTTTGTTAACATGTCCGTTGGATTCTCATGTGTGTAAATCTTCACTAGTTTTAACAGTTGTTGATCCATCACTTCTCTTATCCAATGATAGCGGATGCCGATGTGCTTTATCGGAGAATGGTATGTTGAATTATTACTTAGAGTACTTGGGCTGTCATAATGTACTTTGTAATCTTTCTGCTTGATCCCTAGTTTTTGGAGAAAATGCTTTAACCACAACATTTCTTTACCTACTTCCGTCGCTGCAATATATTCTGCTTCTGTTGTGGATAATGTAACACACTTTTGTAGTCTTGACTGTTATGAAACAGTTCCCCTTGCAAAATTGTAGAGAAATCCTGAAATAGATTTTCTATTATCAAGATTTTCAGCCATATCAGAATCCGTTTAACCGTCCAAGATTGGATGAGTACCCCCATAGCACAGACATATCTTTGATGTACCTTTAAGGTGTCTAAGAATTCACTTGATTGTCTCCCAATGTTCCTTTCCAGGATTACAGAGAAGACAACTCATCGTGCCCACTGCATGAGCAATATCTAGTCTAGTACATACCATGGCATAAATCAGGCTTCCAACTGCTAAAGAATAAGGTATCAATGACATATCCTCTATCTCTTTCTTGGATGAGGGGCATGAATTTTTGCTTAACTTGAAGTGGTTAGCTAATGGAGTGCTTATAGGTTTGACATTTTGCATGTTGAATCTCTTGATCACTCGTTCAACATACCCATCTTGAGATAGCCACAACCTTTTATTCTTTCTATCTCAAGTTATGTACATTCCCAAAATATGTGGAGTTGAGCCTAAGTCCTTTATGTTAAAGGATTGGGAGAGTTCCTTCTCCAGTTGGCTGATTTTGTTGCATCTTGTCCAACGATCAACATGTTGTCTACATACAATAGAAGAGCAACAAAATTGCCATTCGAAAATCGTTGAATATAAACACACTAATCTACAATTGTTCTTTTATAGTTTTGACTAACCATTAACGAGTCAAACTTTTTGTATCACTGTCTTGGTAATTGCTTAAGACAACACAAGCTCTTCTTTAGCTTGCAAACGAAGTTCTATTTTCCTGAAATTTCAAAACCTTCTGGCTGCTCCATAGAAATTTCTTCATATAAATCACCATAAAAAAATCCTGTCTTGACATCTATTTGTTCAAACTGGCTACTAATCCAATGATAACTTAAATTGAGGCCATCTTTACAACAGTGAAAAAATCTCGTCAAAGACAATTCCCTTCTTCTGAAGAAATCATTTGACTATCAAACGGGTTTTATGTTTACCACCTTTCCGCTACCATTTTTCTTGAGCTACAAAATCCATTTATTCCTCAATGCTCGCTTTCCCTTCGGAAGCTCAACCAACTCACGTGTTTGATTTTTCTGCAGTGAATTCATCTTATCTTGCATTGCTTGTATCTACTTGTCTTTGTCTACGTGAGTTTGTGCTTCCTGAAAGCTCTCCGGCTCTCCTTCGAGCAAAATGTACTTTGATTCTTGATATCTCGTTTATGGAATCCGTCCTCGTTCACATCGTACATGTGGATCATTGGTTTCAGGAGGTGCACCATCATTTGTTTGATGTGATGGTCCGACAACTTCTGGTGAAGAGGATTGTGACCCTGATCAATATCCTCTTCCTCATCCTCCTATTTTGCTTCTGGCATTTCCTCATGCGCATCAACATTATCTACGGTGAATTGTGCTGGTGCTGGATCTAGATCTTCTCTTTTCGTTATCGGACCTGAATTTGAATGCTAATGCTGGATTGTCGAGGTTCATATATTGGTGTTCTTATCTAGAATATATGTTTACAAGTTTGATTGATCTCGTCTTTGTCTTTGTATACGGATGCTTCACAAGTAATTTTCATTGCTTTATGTCATTTCATAATTCATATACACTTAGACTGAATGAGCACATTAGAAACAATTATTTTATGAAATATTTGGTTTATGCATGTGTGCTAATTTTGCAAATAAACTTTAAATGGAACTTATTGGATTGGACATATTCCACTAGTCTCTTGACAAAGATACATTGCTCTTCTTGTTTTGGGATGTTATTGATTTCTCTCTCAGCAGTACAATTATAAGCCTGGGATTCTTAATTAGGTATTACTTCTTATGTATTTTGGGTATCTTAGCATATCATGCATTGTCTTGAATGAAAGTACTTGGAAATGGTCTCAAATGATGGCCATATAGAACCTTTAGCCCTGTTTCTTTATATGTCCGAACTGCTAGTTCATCATTATCTTTGCTGGTGTCATCTTTTGATGAATGCTTAGCAAGATATGCAGAGTTGATGAATATAGGAAGGGGAGTACTATGAATATAAAAATTCACATGGATGTTAAATTATCTGCAAGGCATGATAAAAAGGATTTGAGTATTCTAATATGGAACTTACTACTTATCAGACAGGAAAGTTTGTTTGGAATGGATTATCTGTAAAGGTTAAGATGTTTTCTACGATATTATGAGGAACATAAAAATTGTACACAAGAATTGATCGAATGTATGGCAAGTGGGATTATAAGGTTATCGACGTTACAAGCTAAAAAATGTTCACGGTCTAAGTTGCAAACCTAAATTTACACAGGAAATGTATAATGAAAAACGGAGAATATATTTAATCCTTATAGAATTGTAAGCAAATATTAATGATGATGACATATAAAGTCATGAATGATATTATTGTCAACTTTCATTTGAAATTGCAAGATTTATTTATTGTTTGGGAGTGACATCAATTACAATTTTGTCTGCATTCAGAATATTACTGCCAGAATGTTTTGCTGTCAAATATTACTGAAACTGACGTATCTGGAAAGTTGAATGTTTCTCGGTTACTTTATGTTATATTGTTTGTTACCCCGGCAGTTAAATTAAAGCCTTTTCATTGACGTGTGGTGATATTTCAATTCTCAAGTACTTAACATTGTTAAAGAAATTTCTTTATCTTTGTGAAGTGACAACCATGGATTCAATGATTTGGGAAAAGATGGTGAGAAGACCTGATCTTCAGGACCTCCAGTTCACGATTAAACACCTTAACCGTTGAACCAATAATTTTAGGGCCACATTAAAAGAAATTTCATGGATGCTTGTAAAATTGATGATGTCTGGTCTATCAAGCTTCCTGAGGTGTTATTTCCTGTGATATATGTTTCATATGTCGACTTTATGGTGTATTTTAGGAAGAAGAGAACGGAAACAAAAAAACTAATTAAATCTACTTTTGGTAGTAAACAAGCTTCGACTGAGTTTCCAAAATGCCAAATCATTTCTATTGGGTCAGATAATTGTTCTATGAGCTCGTCTGAGCATCTCATGAATGAGAGACAAGTTGATTGATTACTCATTTTCTTCTCTATATGCATTTAATACATTTAACTCTTGCATGGAATTGGAATCACCTATCGTTGAAGTTTTAATCTTCCTATTGTATTAATTGCCAGGTCTGTCCAAAATCAGCCTGGATCATTTGGTCGGATGAAGATTGAAACGTATGAACACAGTTTACGCGATCCAACTTTTCCGTGGAGACCTACTTCTGCAGTTTATATTTGTCCAGCGCTTTGCTCAATTACAAATGTGAAATTTTCTTGAGTTCCATAATAGTATGCAGCTAGAAATAAACAGGCTTGCATTGAAAACTCAAGAATGCCATCTTGCTTAGCGGCTTCTCCAGTTCATATTTGTCCAGCGCTCTGCTCAATTACATATTTGACATTTTCTTGAGTTCCATAACAGTATGTAGCTAGAAATATGCAGGCTTGCATTGAAAACTCAAGAACTCCATCTTGCTTAGCGATTCTGACTATAATTTTATTGTCAAGTTTTTTGTTTGAAATGGTGAGATAACTTATTTTTGATTGTGTGATGGAGAAAAATTCAATAGAATGGTCATATATGCGTGCGTGGTAGGATCGATCATTTAAATTTTGATTTCTCAGATCTTGAATCATTCAAATAATAACATATCAGCATTCGAAGAGATGAACAAAGTGAACATTCAAGGTGAAAGATTTCAAAAAGAACAATACAGGCCCCCATCACTTGTATGGTGCCCTTTACTTGTGTTTTTGGATAAGGATGAATGAAAATTTGCCAAGTGTTGGCCTGTAGAAATTCTGTATACCTAGCATTGCTTTTTTAGAAAGGCGTCGTTTTATTATATGTTTTAAATGCTTAAGTTGATTGAGATGGGACATATTCATTTGCCCTCGTCTGACACTTCTAAATGCAATTTGAATTCATAAATCGGTGGCAATGAGATCTGAACTCTGAACCACCATCTTTAAGCGCATCAAATTATTAAATATTTGGACTTGTATGTTGACAGTAAATTAGTCTTCAACAAAAATGTTTTGAGATTTTTGATTCTCAATTTACAAAGAGGTATTGTCTTGTACAGATTCAATTTAGGTAAAAGCTGCCTTCTTTTGATTTCTAACTGAGAAAAAATACATTAAAGATATATGCTACAAAAATACAAATTGTAACCTAATTTTAAGCACAAATTTTGATGGCACTGGTTACCAGATCACTGTACAAAATTGGTAAGTTTACAACTTTAGAGAACTTTACATTCTTGAAGTCTACACAACACTATCCAAATGCTTGGTCTTCACTCTCACTCATGCATCTCAACGTCTCTCCTTCCTAGGGTTCCTGCCGTAACGCCTCTATTAAGATAACGATCATTCGACTGACATTCTCCTTTGTACGGAGTTGATTGTGCCAACGAGAAATTGGAGAGGATTGTAGATCGAAGAGCATCGAAAGATGTATTCGATGCCTTCATATGATTATCATTCACGTCTTCACTCTGCCTCCTTCTATGGAGGCGGCTCTTCTCATCGCTTGAAACATCTTGAAAAAAGCGATCGGCGTGGTAATCTTAGTAGTTAACGGTAGCCTAAACTTTTCTTTTCTTCCCTGAATTTAGACGGTTTTGCACTTTGTGGACACTGTTTTGCAATTTCCGATTGGGTTGTGTTATTTTATATAGTAATACTGATAAATTACGGTGATTTGTCTTATTTCGATTGTAAATTGAGTGTTCGGAATTTCACGGCCTCCTCTTTCCTGTTCATTCGACCTTGCTTTTAAAGGGTTCTATTCGGACTCCTGGAGAATTTCTCTCGAGCATTGTGGGATCAAAATCAGGTTTTTTCTTCCTTTTTTTTTTTCCTCTCTGGATAGCAATCGCATTGTACACGCTTTTTATTGTAATATGTATGAATGTTGGTTTTTTCTAATTTTTGGAACAGTGTTCAAGTTTATTGAGATTTGATTTGCGTTGAGGATAGGCTTGGGATATTTATGAGAAAAATGAAACTGGTGATTTGCAAATAATTTGCAAACAACTAAATCATAGCTACAATTTGAGTTCTTGAAATAAAAGGTCTGGTATGCGGAAAATGAAAAGGTTGAAAGGGTTTAATTAGATGGAACCTTCATATCCATTACGGTCAATTATTGTGCCAAGCCGACCAAACTACATGCTACTTATGTGGTGACATGAATTGTGCTCTAATTATACCCACAAGGCTACAACTGTTAATTTGTTTGTACTGGTTTTTTTCCTACCTTGGTCCTAATCCATTTATCTAAAGGCACTTTTAAAATATTATTAACTATTTTTAAATTTTAAGCACTGAACTAACTTGTTATTATGCTAGTCACACATCATTGGATTTTAAGATTAATTTTATAAGTAAGCATTATCTCAACCAAGTGAGGCCTTCTTTGCAAACAGCTATACACTAATTTTTTATTAATCTGGATATCAACTGGATCCGATGTGTCCATATAAACAGTGATCTACAATTTGTTCTTCGATTTGTATCTACATTCTTTAAGGTGCCCCATTCTGATTTCTGCTTTTACAGACTTCTTCTGCAGTTTTCACTCTAATAGATGGAAGTTTCCATTCCTTCTGATACGTCAGCTCCTCAAAATTTAAGCAGCCTTAGTGAATTGCCAACGGATCTGCCTGATTCAGCTCATAACCACGCAGAGGACCTTTCTATTAATGATCTTCAGAATTGTTTGATTGAGACTTTAACAACTGAAGATGTTGAAATATCAACCTGTGGCTTCACTCCATCGCTTGAGAAGAATGATATCAGCAATGCTGTGAGGAAACATGAAAATGAGGACTCCAATGCGAGCGACTTGAGCAATTTATCTTCTGAGAAATGTATTAGCAAATGTGCCACATTTCCACCTTTTGGTGAGCATAAATCCTCTGCCAAAGAATTATGTAACAGGAAAGGGAAGCAGGGAAATGATATAACTGCTAAATCTGTTGATCAATCCTATTCTCGAGCCATATCATTGCCTGTAAGTTTTTCTTTTTCTTCTCAGTAGCTAGCTCTTCTGCATTCTTTCCTTGATGTACATATTTTTCTCATGTCAAATGGGTGTTTTCAAGTGAATATCATATGCGGTTTTTTTTTTTTTTTTTTTTTTTTTTAACAATCTGTTTCTACTACAGCTGTTTACTTGGTACGCATGAATTATTATGACACTATTTTCGATGCATGATGAGTTCCTGGGAAGTAGTAATGCTTTTACGCCACACATTTAATTTTTATGAGTTAAGTGTTTGATTGTGTGCAAATTTTTGTGTCTACCGTTGGATTCCATTTTCTTTGGAGTCAGGGTTTTTGTTTCCAAAGGATTTTATTGGATAAATTACATTTGAGCGCACCATTTTATAGTTGCGACTTTATCATTAATTTCTCCTTGATACTCTTTTCTTAGACTCCTTCGAAGCTTGTATCTGCCATAAAAGGTAGCCGTGAAAAGCTGGGAATGCCACCTCAGAAGCAATCAGTGACGTGGGCTCCGGATGTGTATGATCCAGCTCCAACGGCGGTGTCGCATGTATTATCGAACAAGAGTCAGAGCCATCAAAGCGATAGCAAGAAGTCTGGGAAGAACAAGCAGAAAGGTGGTGGCAAATCTTCACGAGGCAGCAAAGGCAAAGGCAAGAAACAAAATCTGAAGAAGTCAGCGGCTCAGATCCATTACACAGAAGTAGTTTTCTGAAAAAATCTGTCACAAAGTTGCACTTTCCCATCGCAGAGGCTATTTGAGAGCTTGTCAACGTGTCTAAACTGGTAAACTTTTATCCCACTGATGATGTGAATAAATAATGATGCGTTTTTGTTGATCAGTGAAACTAGTGCTAGAAACCTGGGAAGACATTATTAAGATTGTGTACCTTCGATGGAAATTCGACTGCAAGCTTTTGGTGACGTGCTTCCACGTTTATAGTGTGGTGTGAAAATAAGATTACCCCCATTTTCACTCATTTGCAGGTTTTCTTGTGACTGGTTTGCTTAATTCAATGCACAAACTCGACCCCTTGAAATCTTTGGAGGCCTTGTGTCCATTGGAGTTCAATGTACAAATAAATAACTACACAATGACAATGCCGATAAATTAAATGCAGTCAACTGCAAAGCAAAGTGACGATTGATAAAGAGTGTTCAAGATATCCCTGATACAAGAGTAGTTCCAATTATCCTAGCGAAGACCATAGTAGACTAGTAGTAATGATTCTCGACTGCTTGTGTCCAACACGGTATGCTGAAAAATTCCTCTAGCTTAAAAATGTACTGAAAATGTTCTAAAAGCATCAACCAGACCATCCAAAAGTCCTGTTAGTCACAAAGCCACTTTCGATAGGCTTTGGATCGAGTGATACCTTGTTGAGGAGGTTGTCGAGGCGGAGACTACCTAAGCCTTGCTGGATCGATAAAAATTACCCTACCATGCAGGAACTTGGAATTCATTTCTTCCCTTGCTTTATCAGCTTCTTCTCCTGTTTCATAAGTTTTGCTGCACAATAATCAAGATCAAAATGAAAAACTGGATCTTGTTGGAAATTGGACGTTAATTAAAGCGTAGGGATAGGATGAGAACTTTTCCCCATCAAGAAGCCTTCCAAATGGTGCAAATGGTTGAAAAGACTTTCATCAGTTGTATTTTTTGATATAGCTGCACAATCAAATCAAGTATAGCAGTTGGTCATTTTCAAGCTCTGCTAAAGATGTCATTTAAACAAGATGAACAGATGTCAATTTATTTTTTCAAACGAGATAAACACAAGTCGATCCCTAAAGCAAGCGTACAGCTTCCACTCACTTCCTCAGTACAGCTCAGGGAAATGTTTTACATAATGCGGGAAGTGTTGTGTCATACAAATGATCATAGGGAATGACAGAAAATACCACCCCACTTGTCTGAACTTGCTCTTCGCTCATTATGCCCGTTTGGTTTCCCATTTTCTAAAACTCATTTTCAACCATACATTTAATAGGATTTACAACTTTTATCAAAATTTACTAAATATTTGATTTTAGCTAAACCAAACAAGGGCTACATCTTTAATTTGATTTGTGTTTTGCTAAGTACATTTCCTCTCCAGGTTCTTTTTGTATTTTACTGATAAATCAATATCAGCTTTCGAATAAGTCAACCTACTGCAGCAAAAGCCTAAATATTCATGCTGCAATATTTTCAAAATACTTGTATGCGCGCAAGAAAAAGAAAAATGATGATTAATCTAGCTTAAACTTTAATATAAGCTGGGAAACAAACAGGAGGTCACACGAGCATCAGAAGCAGACAGATACTTATATCGCTTAATTTGAAGGTTTTCTTCCCGACACTAACCACGGTTTCTGTATGGCATGTGACGAACTGTAATGGTCCGACCTCTCATGTTTTTCAAGCTGACGCACTCATTATATGTATCCATACACTGAATAAATCATTCAGCAAAGTATTTTCTTGATTATTCATTAGAAATGTTGGTGCCATTTCTCACAGTACATTTGTTGAACTAATTTCAATCTATGGACCGTGGACGAGGCCAATACGATGTAATGTATGTGACTGTCAATGGCAAACAAATGGAACGCTGTATGATGCCAAACTATACTCCTATACATGCTAGGACACAACATAATGATGACAATGAGAACCATAAGGGAATCAGAAGAATCAAATCCTCCAAATATGGCATATCCAAAACTTGATCTGTTGCTTGTATCTTCAAAATATCCTTTATGGAAGCGTTGGTTAAGGTCAAGCAAAAATCCACGATATTGAGCAATATCAGTATCTTATTTTCTTTTGTGAACTTCTCACTTTTTGCTCCTAAAAGATGTAGTCTCCACCTTCGATACCTTATGGTTCTTATAGTCATCATGTTCACGCAGAATATAGTCTGTCAATGTTCTCTTTGTTCTCTACCGAGAGCTGCACACATTGCATGATACTGGCTTCTCCAAGGGCCCATTACTAAATAACCAATCTCCCCATACACATAAAGGAAAAGATGGTTTCTCAATTCGAACACACCGAAAATGTGGTCCAACATAATCATGCATAAAATAGGTCTATACAACACCAAGCCTACTAATGTTTCAGATTTATGCTAGTACTTCTATACTTGATACCAATTTTGGAGTATCAAAAGTAGGGTAACTCAACTTCCTCTATACCTCTATGTTCCACTTCCTCCTACGTAAGGCACATATTTCAAATTGCATAAACGTAAAGACAGTACTCAAAATGTAAATAAATAAATAAATTACAAACAGCGATAGACCAAAACTCCCCGAAGTTTTAGACCTCTGGTTAAACTAGTATTACGAGCAAATTACATCGAATTACGTGTGCGCGCGTGTGTGAAAGAGCTTAGGACTGGCAAGCGTAGGTAGGGTAGTAATGTGGTGAGTCCAAACGAATTGAGAGCAAAAAATCGTCGACGCCATGGAAGACCCTCTCAGAATGTGACGAAAAGCAGAGATATACGCCATTTCCATTATGATTTTCTTAACGATATTAAACAAAAATGGATGATATACATTACAAAATAGAAATATGAAAGTTTGCCCCCCAGTGCACATCCCAACTGGCAAAGATGAGGGTGCTTCAAGGTTAGCAGATCAGAGGTCGTGAGTTCGATTCCTGAAAGGCTCCTGGAAAGCAGGATTTATCCTAAAAAGCAGGAGCTCTATTGGAAGGCAAGGTGCAAAGATGGGAAACGACTTGCTTGGCACTTTGACAGATCAGTTGGAAGGTTTTTGAGCACTGGTCAATTTGGGGCACAACCTGCGGTTTAACCTGTCTGCAGCTTGAGGGGCCAAAGTGTAGACTCCAGGATTTAATCACTATAAGGTGGATACTTGAATATAAAAAAAAGAAAAAAAGAAATATGAAAGTCTGATATAGGTTTTATGGTTTGCAGAGAGAGGAATGCAAAACCCCTGATTTTGGGTGGACATCCGCCGTCGTATTGGAAAATAGAGACCGCATGGTTAGACTTGATATAGTACGTGCGGGACTACAAGTTGCCATGTACTCGAGCTTTATCAACCGTCCGATGCTTCGACTTCACGATCTGTAGCTCTACATATTTTGGTTCCAGCACCCAAAATTTAATTTTTACCATTTTCTTTGGAAACTCTAGCAAATTGCATCCTCAACAAATTTGACAAAAGATTATTTCATTCTCTGTGTGTGTGTATATGAATTATGTTATTTGTACATTGAAAATGTAAAGTCATTCAATTATACATAAAAATTTGTGACATTGATTGTTTTAAGTCGTTAAAATCAATAGCAAAAATGTTGGTCGTCTCATATACTGTCAACAAAACTGTATTTGTAACAAAACTGTTTATGTAAGGTCAATCAAAATTATTTCCCTATCAAATTTTATGGACAAAATATATAATATTAATATTCTCTTGTCTTAGTTATCGGTATGCTATTGACCACTGTAGATCTCCAAATAAAAAATTCTAGCTCTGCTAATATTTGAAAGGAGGCTATAGTAAAGTTCGTTAAATATGCAAGTTTGTGAAGAATATTGGCAACAATTTTAATGTCTTATAATTTGCCATTTTGCATAGGATGTCTCCAACCGGAGCAATTAGTACATTATTGCCATTCCAACAATAAAATTGCAATTACACTACATGTACATCACCACTTATAAATATGATGTAGTGAAATATAATCGTATTAGAATTTCTTCTAACAAATTAAAAAAAAAATTCTCCACTCTCTTTTTAACTTATCATCTATTTGTAAAATTTTATGAACTTTTTATGTATAAGTAACATAATTTATAAAATTAAAATTTAGACTATTTGTTGTTATAGCCCTCGTTTGGCCGCCATTAAAGTTATAATCTATTTTTCTCTTTTTTTTATCAATGACACGGTCTCCAATAAAATAATATTGCACATAAACCTAAAATTTTTTCCTTTTTTTTTTTTAACACACATTCTTAAAAAAAATATATATTATTTCAAAAATTATAATCTCAAATAATGGTGACCAAACGGGAGCTTAATTTTTTTTTTTTTTTCAAATCTAGAAACCTTTCCAGTTGAACAAACATGCGATTTTTAAGATATGGTACATTTTGGAGCTATTTTCTACCACAATGTAGAGTTGTCGTCATGCTTTTTTTTAAGGGCAAAAAAAAAAATAAAACATTGATTTTTTTATTAGGCACTCTTAGGGCTTGGCAAATCTTTCGAACCGAACCCGACGGTTCTTGTGAAATTAAATATCCGAACGGGTATTTAAATTGAGAATCGACAGGTACGGTTTGGTTCTCGGTTCTAGACCAAGAACTGAAAAATCAAATAAAAATCGAATTTTTCTAATTTTTCTTATATTCAATAAATCAAATTATTTTAATTTTAATTTTAATTTTTTTTAAACAAATTAATAATTTCTAAATCCAAAATTTTTGGCCCAATAATTTGTTTCATTTTTTATTTTTTAATTTTTGACCCAATTACCCATTTTATTGTTTCATTTTTTAGCTCAACAATGATCCAACTCACTAAATAACCCTAAATGCCTACACTAAAGTGCATAACCCTATCTCGACTCTCGCACTCACTCTCGCAGCCTCGCTGACATTCCAAAACCTATACAATCGTCGGTCGACATTGTGACCTCCAATTGAAGCTGTAACATCCGCCGATCGAAACTTTGACCGTAGCAATTATTAGAACAAAGTAGTCTACTAGTCTCTGACATTCCAAAACCATTGAATGTGTCATTAGTTGTATTTATATAATGCTGTTATAAATGTTAAAAAATTTAATTATAGTATGGAACCGAACCAAACCCGAACGGTTCCATAATTATATTTGGACCCGACGGTTCCATTTACTAGATATTCGAAAATTTTGGTTCGATTCAATTCGGTTCTCTTTAGAAGCGAACCCAACCGACCCACGCCCACCTCTAAGCACTCTAGAGCATGAATATACTTATCTTTAATCTATATATATATATATATATATATATTAAATATTGCATAAAGTGAGAATCATTTTTTGGACGATTGTATCCTTACTATAATTCAATTATTTAAAAAAAAAAAAAACTTGCTTTCCATTTTTTAATATATATTTAATTTATTTATCCATTTGAACCATGTTATCATGAATTATTTTATCAACTATTTAATTATGATTTGTATACATTTGATGGATTCATTTCACTTGATTGGACAGTAGATTAAATTCATTATTTTTTTTTTGGAACAATAGACGATATTTTGAAAGTTTGTTTCAATTGATTTATTCAATAAATGTTAAGATATAGAGAAGTTAAATTAGAGGACAAAATGTGCGTCTATAATAAATAATTTCAATTGATATATTCAATGCATATTAAGTGAAGATGAATAAATGGTTGTATCGGTTGGATGTTAAGTTCATAACTGTTATGTTTAATATAATTGGCGATTCTGTGAACAGAAATAACTAAATTGAACATGTGTAAAAGTCAAGGAATTTGGTGCAATTTTGTATAGATGAGTTAGGCAGATCATGGTTCGTGCTCGAAAAAAGGAAAGCAGAGTCACCACGATTTCCCTCACCTCTTGTCAAAACATTGCTCGAATGACAAAAATAGAATGATTGTCACTCGAACATCGCTCGAGCGACAAACCCTTCGCTTGAGCGGTAGTGATAAGTGAGAAAACCTAATTCGGGTTTTTTGAGAGTTTTACATATCCTATACTACCTAAACACCTCCAATTATAACCCAAGCATAGCACGAATTTTGTGTAGTTGTTCATTGTGCCTCTTATTGATAATACATTCATATCATCTCGTAAAGATCCAAGAATATATTCAACCCTTGATTCAATCCATTCTTTCTTGATATCATACAACCACGGATCTGAGAAAAGCATCAAGGTTCCAGAATTCAAAACATCTACTTTTTTTGTATAACAAGGAAGATACTTTCTCAATTGGAACTTCACGGGCTGTTGAAGATTGACCAAGGTTGGACTACAAGAGCATGAAGATGAACTAGAATTTGTGATTCTTGGGTATGCACTTGGAAGAGACAATTGTAGAAAATCGGGAAGTTGGTGGAGTCAATGGATCTTGGAGATTACAGGAAATAGATCGGGAGGTCTAGTGAAGTTGGCTAAGCAACATCTAACTGTAAGGTTCATTATTTATAGTGAAGGTAACTTGCTTGGTCATGAAGTTTTTACCCAATTGGATTTCTCCATTAACAATTACTATGTTCTTTACTGCTTTCATATTACAAACTACAGTATTCAAATATAGGGAAATCGACTTGTATGCTTAATCATCTAGAAACTATTATAAACCGACTTGTTGCTTTTAATAGAATAATTTCGTACATAAGGTCGAACTAATTGGTAATCTAGATCCTTCTAGGAAACTATAAAGCAGTATCTCGAGAATTTCCAACAATTAGTAAGAACTTTCAAGTGACACCATGGCCTAAATTC